CCTGCCAGGAGGGGGCAGAGAGGGGGGATGAGTCTCTGGAGCCAAGGCCCCAGTGCCAGGCCCCGAGGGAATGGCCTCAAGCTGCCCAGGGCAGGGTCAGGCTGGCTCTGAGGAAGGATTTCTGTGCAGAAGGGGCTGTTGGGCGTTGGAATGGGCTGCCCAGGGCAGGGGGGAGTCCCCGGGATCCCTGGAGGGGTTGAAGAGTCGGGCTGAGCCAGCGCTGAGGGATCTGGGGGAGTTGGGAAGGGTCAGGGGGAGGGTCATGGTTGGGCTGGAGGAGCCTCAGGGGCTTTTCCAGCCAAGATGATTCTGTGATTTTGTGATTGGGTGAACAGGATCCCTCAGCAGGGTTTAAATGGAGCCCTGAGCTCCCCGTGTGTGACCCACCACTGATTTTTGCCTTGTCTGGTGTCAAAGCAGCAGCTGCAGGGAGACCTCGCTGAGCATCAGGTGCCGGTGGAGAAGCTCCAGAAGGCAGCTCGGTCCCTGCTGGAGGTTCAAGGGGAGCCGGCCCCAGACCACGGGCACATTCAGGAAACAACAGGTACAGAGCAAAGCAGCCGGCTGTGTCAGCAGGGGTGGCTGGGGAGAGTGTGAAAACAAACCAGGGAGGGGTGAAAGGTGAAGTTCCTCACTTTTGGGGGGAAGGTGGGGCGAAGGCACACAGCAGGGCTGGTGTTTGCACGTGGCCATGATCCAGGTTGGCCGTTCGTTGGGTTCCCTGTCTCCCTGCTGAGTTTGGACACGGGGATTAGTGGCCAGTGAGAGTTTGGCAGGAGCCAAAGGAGATTCTCGCCGCTCTCTGAGCACCAGGCAAGAAGCTCTTTGCCGCTGACTCTCCTCTGCGCTGAACTCTGCAGATGCCATCGTGAGCCGCTTCCAGAGCCTCTCCCAGCAGATGGCCGAGCGCTCGGACCTGCTGCAGAAATCCATCGCCCAGTCCCAGAGCGTCCAGGAGAGCCTGGAGAGCCTCCTCCAGTCGGTGGCTGAGATCGAGAAGAACCTGGAGAGAGAGCAGCCAGCCGCGCTCTCCTCCGCCTCCATCCAGGACTCGCTTGCCACGAGCGCGGTAAGGCTGGTCCCTGAGCCCCCTCGCCTCCGACGCGCCTGTCTGCAGGACCTGAACCCTGCAGGCAGTTGGAGGGGGTGCTAGCTACAGTGTTCTAAAAGCACAGAAAAGCCCTAAAAAGGGATGTGAGCAGAATCTTTACTTAATTTCCTTAAGCCAGAGCACAGACCTGTTGAAAAGTCTCCTTTCTTCTTTGCTAACAAGCAGAGTGTGGATATCAGGCACGGGGGGGATAGGCAGAGCAGGTTGGGGAGAGCAGAAAGGAAAGAAAAACTGGGATAGAAAACTATTCCTGCCCGACCCTGGTTGTCTTTAAAATGTGCGCTGCTGTTCCCAAGAGCAGCCCAGCCTCTTCATGCCAGTTCAGTTTTGCTCAAGAGCCTTCCTAAAATGGCATCCCTTCCTCTGTGTGCTTACCACAGAAGCTGAAGCAGGACATTGCCAGGCAGAAGAGCTGCCTGGAAGCCACCCGCGAGATGGTGACACGGTTCATGGAGGCGGCAGACAGCCCCACGGCCTCTGCCCTGCAGGGCAAGCTGGCGGAGGTGACGGAGCATTTCGGCAGGCTGTGCCAGCAGCAGCGGGAGAGGGAGGACGTGCTGAAGGGCCTCCTCCCCAAGGTCGAGCAGTACGAGCAGCTCTCGGAGAAGTTGCAGCAGTTTACGGAGAGCAGAGCGCGGATGTTGGCGTCTGGGAATCAGCCAGACCGGGACATTGCTCGCTTCTCCCAGCATGTCCAGGTGAGATGCAGGGGGAGAAGCCTCCGCCTGCCTCGGGGTTTGGGGAAAGGGCCGTTCTGCAGTGATTTCTTCCCAAGCAAACAGACCCCAGTTTGCTCCCAGGCTGGCAGGAGCCGCAGGCCCTGTGCTGGCTCTTTGCTTGGGGAAGGGAGTGTGGCCGGAGCGGCTGAAGCTGTTTCTGGCAGTGAGAGAGGGAAATGGTATTTCCCTGGAGCCAGGCTGGTTTTCAGAAGGGATCTTGAGCCAGGCTCTTGGAGGCCAGTCCAAATACAGCAATGTTTTACCAATTAAAGACTCCATGGGGTTAATACAACAAAAATCCTGAGTGCTGGCAGCAGGCGCAGTGCGGGATGTGACAAAGCCCTCGGAGATGCCGTGGGTCGTGCTGGCTGGTCACGGCTGCGCGAGATTCCTCCCTCTGCCTTCCTGCGAGTGCTCTGCTCTGGGGGGTGGTTTGGCCACAGCCTCAGAAATGCTCCAAGCTGGCATAAAACCAGACACTTGTGCTGGGGGGCGGGTTGATTTGGCTTGTCCAGGGCCCCCCAACCCATTCACTGTGTGGCCTTACACCAGCACCGGGGAAGGTGGAACTTGCTCCTGCAGCTGCTTACATTATTTGCTGAGCCAGAGCTGGAGGAGCAGGTGGGACTGGGCCATGCCCACAGTTTGCTACTGGTGCAGTTCATGGTGCTGCCCACAGAGGGTCTCTCCAGCTCGCCAGGACTCAGGGCTGTCTGGTTCATCCCCTCTGCCCGAGTCTGCTGGCAGGAGCACGGTCAGCATCGCCCTTTGCTCTTGGCAGGAGCTGAATTCGGAGCTGAGGCAGCACCAGGAGGATCTGGCCACCCTGGAGCACCTCGCTGCAGAGCTGGGCTCCTGCGGCTTTGCCCCCGGCACCTCCCAGCAGCAGGAGAAGCTGCAGAGCCTGAAGAAAGACTTCCTGCAGCTGCAGAAGGTGGCAAAAGAGAGGTGAGTCCCAGGGACCTGGCCACTCCCTGGGGACGTGAGTTTGGGGGTGACTTCGTGGTCAGAGCAAGACCCTGTGGAGATCTCCTTTCCACGGCAGGGCACGGGCGAACTCTTCCTGCCTCTCTCCTCCCACGCCAGGTGACGTAAGGCAGCTCACTCCAGCTGACGCTTTAAAAAAAGCCTTGGCTGGGGGCGTTGTGAAAAATTCCTGGTGCTGCAGGAGCTGGCGTTGGTGCGTTTCCCGGCGTGTGGGCTGCCACAGCTCCATCCCAGAGCATCTTGCCGGAGGGGAGCGGGGTGCTGGCAGAGGATCGGGAGCCTGCCCCAGGCGTGCTCTCTGGGAGGTGACAGAGCAGAGCAGCCTGTCCCCAGAGTCCCCCTAAAGTGGGGATAAAGCGGAGCTTTAGCAGCAGCTTGCGCTCAAATCAGCCATGGCCGCTTGGCCAGGAATAGGGTGAAAGCTCGCCTGTGTCCCCAGGGGGGGTCACACCTCGCAGGCTCATATCTCCAAACTCCCTAGGGAATTCAAGGAAGGTGATGAGGAAAAGCAGATGAATCTCATAATAATCCCCAGTAATTCAGCCCCACACAGAGAGCTGCCTCCGGCCGGCCCCGTGCAGGCTGCTCGCAGCTGCGGCCGGCGAGTGTGAGCCGGAGGGGCCCGTGGCTCCTGTCCGGGGGCTGCCTTGTCCCTCCGGGATGGGCTGAATAGATGGGAGCTGCGGTTGGGGAGGAGGGGCAGCACGGCCGGGCCTCCCCGGGGCTGCAGCTGGCTGGGGCGAGTCGACATGAATGAGCCTTGTCTTCCCGAAAGCTTCGCATCCCTCAGGACAAAGAGCCCGGCGCAGAGCCAGCGCAGGTTGGCCATGGTGGTCCCGTGGCTGTTGGCTACCATGGTGGTGCTGGAACAGCTCCCAAAGTGCCCCTGACTGCAGCTTGGAGGGGGCAGCAGCAGTGAGGGGCAAGCTGCAGCGTGCACCCCGCTTTGGCTGGCACTGCGTGCGCCGTTCCTAAGCAACATCTAATAATAATAATAAAAAGAAGGGCTCCTGCAGACACAACTGTGCTACATTCAGGCGGGGGTAATTGCAAGGCAAAGCACGAGCTCTGACTCTCTGAAACCTTTTCACTCTCAGAGAAAAGGATGCGTCGTCCTGCCAGGAGCAACTGGATGAATTTCGGAAGCTGGTCGGGGCCGTGAGGAAGTGGCTGAGGGAGAGCGAAGGCAAAATGCCGCCTGCTGAGACCTCCCTGGGCACCCAGGAGCTGCACCAGCACAGGCAGCAGATCCAGGTGGGCAGAGGGAGCCGGAACCAAACTGGGAAAGTTGGCAGTTGGTGTGAACGTGCTGGAATGTGGAATAAATCCCAGAAAGCAGATTTCTGGGAGGTGTTTTATGGTCTCGGGAATCCTGGGCTCCCCTGTACTTGCTGTGGGGCTGCAGCCCCTGGGGTGTGTGCAGCCGGTGGTCCCTGGCTTGCAGAGAAGGGAGCAGTGTGAAGGTCCCCTTGGGCCCTGCCTGGTTTCCCTTCCCTCCCCACTGCCTGCTCTGGGCGGGATTTGGGAGCGGGAGACCCCGAACACGCTCGTTTTTGCTGAGTGTTTCCCCTTGCTAGACGTGGAAGGTGGCCTGCTGTCATCTGAGCCCCCGCTCCTCTCTGGCACCGTGATGCTTTAAATCAGGATATGCCAAGGGTTTGACTCAGAGGCAGAGCAGCGTCTGCTGAGTCACCCGCAGCCCTCGCACCCCACGGCACGGCGCCGGGCTCCCGCACGCTGCCAAAAGCTGCGGGGACTGGACTAGCACGCGGCTGGGGGGGTGCAGAGAGGAGGAGGGAGGTCCCTGAAATGAGAGGAGGAAGAAGAAGGTTTCCTTCGACAGACCCACTAGTTAGGGAAGAGCTTTTCCTCCCCGACAAAAATAAATGTAAAGTCACCCACTTTCCCGGCACAGTCTGCGCCGGTTCCCTGGGTTCTGTGTCCCCGAGTCACCGCGGAGGTGATGGGCGAGGGAAGGAGGGAGGGCTGCGGCCAGGCAAGCACGGCCTCCAGTCCCGGCCTTTGCTTCTGAGCAGGATCTGCTGGAGGAGTGGGAGGGGAAGGGGGCCCAGGTGGAGGAGATCGGCCGCAGAGGGACCCTCCTGGAGAACCTGATCGTGGAGATTACAGCCCCCGACACCCCGTCCAAGGCAGGTGAGTCCCAGCTCGCTCTCCCGACGCCTCTTTCCTCATCACTCTGTTTGCTCTCACCACTGCGACTTCTCCGAGCCTGCCTCAAGCCAAAATTAGGGTTATTTCCCCCTTTTAACAAACTCCAGAGGACTTGTGGTGGTCTGAGTGTCGCGGGGCTCAGCCCTGTGGTCGAGTCACCGATGCTCATTGCATTAATGCATCAGCTGAGCGCTCAGAGCCCACCAACTTGGCTTCATTTGCTGTAGCGTAACGAGCACTAAATTACCCTGTGTTTGCCATGAGCCCAGCATGGGGACACATACTGCTGCTCCAGTGGAGCAGGGGAGCTTCTCCAGGCTCTCGGCCCCGCAGGGAGCTCATGGAGGTAGCTTCTGCTTTCTCTTGGTGATGTGCTTCAGCCTCCTGAGGGATGGAGTGTTTTGATCAAACTCCAGTATTTGGGTTTCCTATCTGGATGAAATTTAAGGCTGCGATATTCAGACGTGATTTACTAGTCTCCTTTTTGGCTTCAAGTCTGTGAAGCAGTGAGAGTATGTCTGGTTCGTTTGGAAACCAACTAAAAGATGTCTTCCAGCTTGTGAGAACAAGTCCCTGGGCTCTCATCACTGATGGGCATTTATGGGAATTCATAGTCTAGATAGGTTTGTTAGGCTTAACTTGAGCAGTTCAGTGGCAAACCTCCAAGAGAATTGGGGAGAGGCTTCTTGTGGGTGACCCACATCGTCACCCATGTGGGGTGACCCAAGCTGCAGCCCCTCACAGCCGTGAAAGCTTTGAAATGTGTGGTTAGAAAGAGAGAGACCCGATGATGTTTCTGATGAATCCCCCTTCAGCTGTGAGCGTAGCTGCAATATCTGCTGTCCAAGGAGGGGACGCTGGCGCATCCCGCGTGGAGCCTCTTGGCAAGGAGAGCGTGTCTGTGCACCAAGGCGGGTTTAAATAGTTTCATCCCATTAGAAAAGGAGAATATGGGGGAGTTAATCTCTTTCAGAGGAGTTAATCTCTTTCAGGGGAGGCATTTAGCCATCTCACTTGATAGTCCAATTCCCAAAATCATGCTCAGGGTAGCAGCTTTCCAGATGTGGAGAGATGGCCAGTGGTCACCAGTGTTACAGTCCACTCAGGAGCCACATCCATCCCTAGTCCCTGGGCGAGGTTGGGGTGGGTGCCCAGCTCCAGGCAGCTTCAGCTCTTCTGCTTCTGGTCCAGCCAGGCGGGAGGAGCTCCCCCAAAACGAGGGCTGCAGGTGTGTCAGGAGGAGGAGAAATCAACAGTCTCCAAATCGTTGGCGATTGCTCAGCGCCGAGCCGTGGGCTCACCAGCGCCGGGCGGGGTGGGCCCGTGGAGACGCCGCGTCTGTGCTTGGTGGCCAGTGTGGTCCGTGTCGTGGAGGGCCGTTCATCGCTTGCTGTCTGCATTCCTAACGTGTCTGTCTTGTCCCTCTGTCTGTCTCCGTCCCCTCTGCCCAGGTGCCGCGCTGCCCGCTCCGGGAGGGTCGGCAGGCAGCGTGAACGGATACCACACGTGCAAAGGTGAGCTCGCTGTCACCGCTGTGCCGGCACGCGCGTGCCGAGGCCGCCTCGCCAGCTCTTTGTCCGTTTTTGTCTGTGCATTTCCATCCGTGAGAATATCAACCACCGTGTGACACCCTCAGCAGCCCGCCGCAAGGGAAACGAGCTTGCCAAATAAGCTGATGGATTCTCAGCCGTGCCGCGGGACGGGCAGGCGGTGATGGAGGATGTAGGTCAGGCTGAAGGACGGAGAGGGGCAGCTCTGGGGAGTGACAGCACCCTGACACCCCATCAGGTGGTGTTGAGCTGATAAATGGGAGATCGTTTTAAGGCCTGCAATTAAATTTATTGGTTCTTAGGGATTATAATGGCATCCAACCCTTCAGTTTGAAGAGCAATTTTAATTATTGCCCGTTATCTGCTGTTAGTTCGTCGGTTCAACGAGATAATAGGTGCATAAAAATGGCTTTATATTTTGGTGTCAGGTTATTTAACACTGTATTAGCAGTGACATTGTGAAAGGGGGGCTCAGCTTGCATCAGTCTCACGAACGTGAAGGCATTTGCTTTGTTTGCAAACTGTCACCATGCATCCGCGGTGCAGGTGGAAGGGCCCCTCTGAATGAGAGGGGAGGATGATCTGCCATGGCTCTGCAGGCAGACGGATGGCAGCGTGGCCTCTTGCTCCTCACGCTTGGCCGGCTGTGGCTGCCCGGGGCTGGATTAGTGCCTGATAGTCCAGGTTAGGACGGGCAGCGCGGGCAGCGGTCCTCAGCTCAGGCTGTTTTTTGGAAACAGATCTGACCGAGATCCAGTGCGATGTGTCGGACGTGACCCAGCAGTACCAGAGCCTTGGCGTGGCGCTGCAGGAACGCCAGCAGCAGCTCTCGGCTATGCTGGAGAAGATGCAAGAAGTGCAGGAGGAGGCCAGCTCCATGCTGAAGTGGCTGGAGTCGAAGGAACGAACGTTGTCGGAGCTGGACGCCTCCTCCTCACCCACCAAGACGGAGACAGTGAGAGCCCAGGCTGAGCACAACAAGGTAACTTCTCTTCCAGAGCAAAAAAACAGGGATTAGAGCGTCTCCTCCCAAAGGAGCTCAGAGATGTGCTTTAATGCAGCAGGACTAGAAGGATTAGCAACAAGGATCTGCCCTAGGTTAAGGAAGGGTTTTTCTCAGAAGGGATCGCAGGCAGGTCTGTGGAGCGGGAGCCCACGCGCTGTGCTCGACCTCTTTGCTTCTAGACCTGCTGCTTTCAGGCATTTGGCTCAGCAGAAAGGAGCTTAACTATCGCCCTTGTTGCTGGGTCACTCAACTTCTCCTGGAAAGCAATTCCCACCCTTTCCCTGCTCTTGGAGCCAAGTTAGCTCACAGTATTGCTAAAGAACAAAAATATTGCAAAGGACAGAAATCGTCCAACTCCAGCTTGTAGCTGCTCCTTCATTCCTACTTGGTGACTTCATTCTTTTGCCCTGTATTTGAAAAAGTTCAAATTATTATTTTTCAGGCATTTCTGGCTGAATTGGAACAGAATTCAGGGAAGATCCAGAAGGTAAAGGAAGAGCTTTCTGGCTTGCTGGAGAAATATCCAGATTCTCCAGAAGCAGCGAACTGGAAGAAGATGCAGGAAGACCTGAGTAAGTGCCTGAAGCACTTAGTGAAGCTTCTGTCTTGCAGCATCGCATTAGGAGCGGTTCAGGATTGCAGGGCAATTCCAAAGTCACAGCAGAGCAGAGTCACTTCTGATTAAAATTCAGTAAATAACAAACTGATCTCCAAGCTGTCTGGTGTACAAGGTGTTCCTGAGACGAGCACTGTCGTGATTAATGAAATCTCTGTGATGGATGTATATTTTAAAGACTTGCCTCCTTAAATTACTTCTTTAAAAAAAATTTAAAAAAAAAAAAAAAAGGGAAAAAAAAAAAGCATTAGCGACATGAGTTGATTATTTTGATTAAAAGCCTCACTGCTTGATATAAAATTCTAGTCATTAGTAAGGCTATCCTAGGTAATTAAATGTTGAGTAAACAAGACTGTGTATTTAAAAAGAAGCCCAGAGATTCTCTTCTTTGAAATAGCAGGAACGTGTTTACGGAGTTCTCCGTCCAGGAGATCTGAATGTGCTGTTTGAGGACTGATACACATGAGAGTATCCCCATTTATCGAGCCAGGCATGTGAGATGGCTCACCCAAGGTCAGACCAGCTCGTGGCAGTAGTGGCTTAGAGCGCAGAAATCCTGCTTGCAAGGTTTTTTTTTTTTACTATGAGCTTCAAGACTGTGTAGCCATTAGAAATGGGTAACGGCTTATTAGATGGAGAGTGACTATAGCCGTGGTAGTTATATTGAAAAGCTGAGGAGATTTCCCATTGGGGAAACCATGGGGAGGGTAAAAAAAAAAACAACAAAAAAACAAACCACCTCGATGGAGGGGTGGGCTGGTTGGGAGCACGACCAGCGCCAACGCAGCCGGTGCTTCAGATTGCAGGTGGGAAAGAGCCAGCCAGGCGACGGCCGAGCGGCAGCAGAAGCTGGAGGAGTCGGCGAACCAGCTGGCCACCTTCCAGGCTGCTGAAGCCCAGCTGCGCCCTTGGCTCCTGGAGAAGGAGCTGATGATGAGCGTGCTGGGACCCCTCTCCATCGACCCGAACATGCTGAACGCACAGAAGCAGCAGGTCCAGGTGAGCTGGGAGCTGTGGAGGGCATCTCCATGGTGGGCTCAGGGCAAGGACGGGGTGAGGGGGTGTCACATCCAGTACGGGGAGGTGGAAGATTGCACGCGGGGTTATTTGTCTTGCAAGTGCTCTGCCGTGCAGCGGGTGTTGGGAGACCTTGTGGCTCCTCTCCCAAGTCCTCCAAACCCCGCTGAGTGCAAACTACTGTGAATAACTTGCAACGGGTGCAGTGCTCGAGCTCGCTTCCCCGCACTGGATTGACTCATCAGTGAATCACTTGGCCCCTCTTGGAGAGTGAAATTGCTTTAAACAAGACCTGGGCTGACGCTCTGCAGGACTTATTAATGCTGCCCCTCTGCCTGGCAGCCTGCCCTTTCCGTACTTCCTACTTCCAAACCCTACTAAGTCCGTAACCGGCCACATCATAAAATAAAATGCCCCAGTTAACATAATTAGATTTCCTTCTCATCTAACTGGTTTACGTTACATTACACAGCAGTAGGACAAATAAGAGAGAGAGCAAAGTCCTGGAGCCGCAGACCTCTCCCAGCTTTTTTAATTGCAAGGTCACAGTAAATCATGCCCTACCCAACCCTATTGCCATCCCACCCCTGGCCTTGTTCCTCCTGGTGCTGTGGGCTGGATAAAGCCCCTGAAGGTCTGGTTTGTTTTGACTGTGTGTATTTGGAGCTGTCAGTTTTGTGCAAACATTTTTATGTTATTTCTGTTTCAGTTTATGCTGAAGGAATTTGAAGCTCGCAGACAACAGCACGAGCAGCTCAACCAGGCAGCTCAGAGCATCCTGACTGGCCCTGGAGATGTGTCTCCATCCACTAACCAGGTGCGGGAAGAACTCCAAGGGGTTAATCAGAAATGGTCTGAGCTAATGGAACGCCTCAACTCCCGCTCCAGCCAAATTGACCAAGCCATAGTAAAGAGCACCCAGTACCAGGAGCTGCTCCAGGGCCTCTCCGAGAAGGTGAAGGCGGTTGGGCAGCGCCTGAGCAGCCAGTCTGCCATCAGCACGCAGCCCGACGCCGTGAAACAGCAGCTGGAGGAAACCAGTGAGATCCGCTCGGACCTGGAGCAGCTGGAAGAGGAGATTGCAGAGGCTCAGACCCTCTGCGATGACCTCTCCGTCCTGATCGGCGAGCAGTATCTCAAAGATGAGTTAAGGAAACGTCTGGAGACGGTGGCGCTTCCTCTCAAAGGGCTGGAAGACCTGGCAGGTGAGACAGAGGAGAAGTTGCTTAAGAGATGTCGGGGTGTTAGACTCCACCCCTGCTTTTTGCCAAAGGGCTCTTCTACCACTGGGTGTCTAAGAATAGTAGGGGAAGCACCGTTTATCATTTTTTAGGGTGCTTCCCGCGTGTTTTAGGTGGGACCAAGCAGAGGAGAGTTCACACTCCAGACATACCCGAGTCTGGAGAGTGAGCAGAGACGTTCATTCCCACTGATGTGGCTCTTGGAGAAGCCTGCCTGGCTTGCAGCAGCGTGGCATGTGCCGTGCTTGGGAAAAACCAGCTGGTTCCTTCTTAATTTTGCCGCATTCTGAAGAGAAGACCCAGCGGCCACCTTCTAATCTTGGGAAGCCTCTTCTGGTTTCTGAGAGGTTGCATTTCAAGACTGGTCAGGAGAACTGAGACTACTGCGTCATCATTGCCTGTTACTACTTAAGAAATTTATGAATCAGTGAGCAAAAAGGCTACTGATGCAATGGAACACTCCTTCCTGTTAATCAAAACACAGTTGGTGCATCTGAGATGATTTTAAATAATTGCACTTTGCTTATTTGATTTCAGCTTAATTGTTGCATTCTAATCTTATTTCCGTTTCAGCCGACCGGATGAACCGACTGCAGACTGCGCTTGCAAGTTCCCAGCAGTTCCAGCATATGTTTGATGAACTCAGGACCTGGCTAGATGACAAACTGTGCCAGCAAGCTCGGAACCAACCTATTTCTGCTAAACTGGAGAGGCTACAGAGCCAAATTCAGGAACAAGAAGAGTTTCAGAAGAGCCTCAACCAACACAGTGGCTCCTACGAGATGATTGTAGCTGAGGGAGAATCTTTGCTGCTTTCTGTCCAGCCTGGGGAGGAGAAGACCACTCTGCAAAACCAGTTGGTCAGCCTCAAAACGCACTGGGAGGAGCTCAGCAAGCAGGCTGCCGATAGACACTCTAAGCTCAAGGACTGTTTGCAGAAAGCTCAGAAGTACCAACGGCACACGGAGGATCTCCTGCCTTGGGTGGAGGACTGCAAGGCAAAGATGTCAGAGCTGGAAGTAACTCTGGATCCGGTGCAGCTGGAGGCGACTCTTCTGAGATCAAAGGCTTTGCTGAGTGACGTGGAGAAGCGCCGCTCCTTGCTGGAGATGCTGAACAGTGCTGCCGACATCCTGATCGACGCTTCTCAGACCGATGAGGACGACATTCGGGATGAGAAGGCCGGCATCAATCAGAAGATGGATGCTATCACAGAAGAGCTGCAAGCCAAGACTGGCTCCATTGAAGAAATGTCACAGAGGCTCAAGGAGTTTCAGGAGAGCTTCAAGAACATTGAGAAGAAGCTGGAAGGGGCGAAGCACCAGCTGGAGATCTACGATGCGCTCGGGCCGCAAGCCTGCAGCAACAAGAATTTGGAGAAGCTCAGGGCACAGCAGGAGGTGCTGCAGGCCCTGGAGCCACAAGTGGATTATCTGAAAAACTTCACTCAAGGTCTAGTAGAAGATGCCCCAGATGGGTCTGACTGTTCCCAGCTCTTAAGCCAAGCTGAAGTGGCTCAGCAGGACTTCAAAGCTGTGAAGCAGAAAGTGAATGACTGCTGTACGCTCATGGAAAACAAGCTTGAGGGGATCGGCCAATTCAATAATCGGGTCAGGGAGATGTTCTCCCAGCTGGCGGATCTCGATGACGAGCTGGACAGCATGGGCCCCATCGGGAGAGACACCGACAGCCTTCAGTCCCAAGCAGAGGACGTTCGCACGTTCCTGGGCAAACTCCACAGGCTGAAGTCTGACATTGAAGCTTCTGAAAGTGAATGTAAGAAGATGCTGGAGGACGAAGGGAGCCCCGATTTATTAGGACTGAAACGTGAGTTGGAGACGCTGAATAAACAGTGCAGCAAACTGACGGAGAGAGGCAAGAACCGTCAGGAGCAGGTGGAAACGACGCTGTCTCGTGTCGAGGACTTTTACGGCCGCCTGAAGGAGCTGACCCACATGACAACCGCGGCGGAGGAGAACGAGGCGTTGCAGTGGGTGGTGGGAACAGAGGTGGAAACCATCAACCAGCAGTTGGCAGACTTCAAGGTAAGTCTTTATGCTTAGAACGTTTCTCAAGTGGTATTTGGTGTTTGAAAGGTCTGTCTGGCGTTGTCGCCTCTTGTGTAGAACCTCTGGTCTTCACGTTCTCGCGGCTTCATTGTTTGTTGCTGTGTGTCAGCATTTTCGGCGTAGTAAAATATCCTGGCTCTGGAGAACAGAAGATCAACTGCTGGACTTGATAGACTGTGGTGAAAAGGCGCAGAAAGGTTTTGTGATTGGGAGGAAAAAAACCTTTTCCCTGTTCTCCTTGTGATGTGTAATGTTGGCGTGCCGGTACCCCGTGGGCCTGTAGAGGTGGTTGGCATTTCGGTTTGGGGGCGAGGGAAGGATGTGTTTGAGTCCGTCTGACCTGTAAGTTGTCGTCATCTGAGTCAGATCAGACCATCCTGCAGGTCTTTCTACCTGGCCCACCATTCCTGCTTGTTGTTCACTTCATCTGGGCCACACATGATATCCATTCTGGGGTCCCTGGGTACGAATAAAGCCGTAGATAAACTGTGGGACAAGGGGTACGCACAGGCAATACAACCAGGACAGAGTTTTGCTGTGGGCTGTTGGTGATTCTAGCAAAGAGCTGATGGAGACGGTCATGGCTTGCATGAAACGCTGAGAGAGGGAAGAGTTGGAGGGTGATATATTTTTTTATACAGTATTACGGTGTTGGGTCATGCTGTTACACTACATTAATTATATTAATACTGCTTAGAAATTCTCTTGCTGTGAAACTTCTATTACTGATGTGCTCGGTAGCTGATGATTGGGCTGATTTACATCTGGCTGCTCGTTTCCCGGTGTTAATGGGGGGGTGGGAGGGGGAAGCGTTTTTACAGCCATTTACTTTTCATCTCATGGTTAATTGATCCCGTTCCACCACTTGATAGCTCTGTGAAACCTTCACCAGGACAAGGTACTTCTGTTTCAGGGGTTGCCGATCCGAAAAAAAAAAAGCTTGGAAGTGTTATTTATGGGGCAAACTCAAACTCACCTGATCGTGTTGCTGTTAACTCTCGTGTTGGGCAGTGTTTGGGCTTGGGCTTATATTGATGGAAAGGATTTAACTTCAGCATTAAACACCACACAGTCATTTGGAACAAATATATCCAAAAAGGAGTTTCTCGTCCTTAAAACGAGTAAAACTTTCCTGTAGAGCAAGGGATTATTCCTGGCTGAGCAGCTCTCCTTAGAAACAATGACGAAACCCAGCGTTGGTGCTTGGTTGGCGGGGCTGGTGAGCGGGGCTGGCAGGCGCAGCTTAACCCATCGTAGTGCTTCCAAATGGTTTGTGTCTCAGTGACCTTGAGAAGGACCCTTTTCAGGCAGCGGTGGCCCGGCCTGCATGAGCCGAGGGTGCTTTGGGGGTGACGTGTCCTTACCAGGAGTCATTTGTTGGCCATCGAGGGCATGCGGGGTAGCTGGGGTCTTTGTTTGTGGAAAAAGAAAAGCTGCAAGCAGCGATGGTCGGGTTTTACTGTGTAATGGCCAAGAGGAAAATGGGGGAGAAGCAAGAAGGGTGGATGGAGCAGTGGCAGCTACGCAGCAGCATTCCTCCCGTGCACAGTTCATCCAGACAACGAGCGTTTTTGCACAAATCGTCCACGTTGCAGAGCAGATCTTTGCAAAGCCTCACCTTACGGTTCTGTCTAAGGGCAAATGCAAGCCCGGATACTGATCTGCACGTGGAAGAGCATCGCAGCATACGGGCAGAGACCATCTGTACCCCGTACATGCAGGAGGGAGAGCGGGGGAGAAGTCTGGTTTGGGCACCGGGGGGAAGCAGGGAGCACCAGGGGCTTTTCTTGGTTGCGCCAGGCTTTTATTTCTCAGCCCCTAAAACAATATCACAGCTGTCTCCCTTCTTGGATTGTGAACAAGCTGCATGCCCAGCGTGTCCGGGGGGACCGGGGGCAGCTCCTCAGCTGGGAATTGCTCCCCGGGGCAGTGGGGGGACGATGCAGCTGGGCGTGGGGAGGAGGATGGGGTGACTGGCGCTCTCCAGGAGCGGTCGCGGTCCGTCTGTCCAGAAGGCTCAAGTGCAGGCAGATATTATGTCTTAAGGCATTAATTTTAATGAACATCTGTGTAAATGAGATGCAAATTAGGCATGGCCCCGGGGCTGCAGGCAAGTTGCCAATGCAGCCCTGACAAAGGTGGGCACTTCTGGACTCATTGTGTCCAGATTTTAATAAAGAAGATCTATTGAAAGCTCTGACGGAGGCCGTGGACAGATGACTTCTGAAGCAGCTTGCACTTGAAGCTTCCCGTATATTCTTCTTTTCCTGCCTGCGAACACCCCTCAAACTCACCCCAAAAGGTCACAACCTACAACAACCCCATAACTTTTAGAGAACTACCACTCGTGCAATTCCCCTCTCCCCCCCAGCCCCTTTCCCAGGTCACAGAGGGACTAAGCCTGGCTAGGGAGGGGTGAGCCCTCTCCCGCTCTAAGTGCTCCTCCTGGCCGGGCTTCTCAGAGGCGAGAAGCTGGGAAGCAGCTGTCGGATCTTGCTCTGGGGGGGAAAGCTTTGTTTGCAGGAGGTGTTTCGGTTCAGCGAGCGGGTGTGAGGGTGGGGATGGCTACACCAAGGGGCTGAGCCCACACCGGCTCCCCTGACAGTGGGAAGCCAGGATGGAGATGTGGAGTGGACCTGGCCGTCAGGGGCTGGGGGAAGACCAGGTAGGGCCTGGTTCAGAGCAGCACGTTGCTAGAGGATTGTAGGAAACCCGCCTGAAACAGACTTTAAGGGGTCATCTCGTTCAGTCCCTGGTTTTATGGTGAGATCAAGTGCAGCTGAAAGGCATTTCTGCGGTTTGGAGTCTGTGCTTATATGGACATCCTGATGGATCGCTTCAGATGCAGCTATGCTGCAAAAGAAATAGCTTGGGTTTAGCTTATGTTAAGCTGTCAGAGCGAAGGAACCTCGTCTTTAACTCCTGGTCTTCAGCATGAGTTTAGCCCAAGTGCCTCTCTTTCCATTGCTGCCTCTCTGAGGAGCCCCTTTTTTGTGTAAAAGGGTACAAAAAGTTGGAAGAATCTTTGTGCGGTGGCTCCACCAGCATCACACGGCTGAGTCGGGCTCTTGGGCACAAGGGACAAGTGACAGCCACCAGCTCTTCCCCTCCGCTCTCTCTGCTGTCAGCTCAGGTTTCTCAAAGCTTACGCTAATATTAAATTTTAATGACTGGAATCAAATGAGCTACAGTTGAAATGTTACTAAACATAACAGCTATGTTGATTCAGTTTAGCAAACAGCAGAATTCCCCGGGGAAGCGATTCCCCAGGTACAGGAGGGTCACACACAGACAAAGGGGTTTTCTCCATCGCGTGCTCTCCAGCATCAGCAACCCCCGAGCTAGAAGACCCTGAATTACAACCCTTCCTCCCAAGGATTAGGAAACTAACGCTCTACTTCAGATAAAACAAGGGGCTGATCTACCTTTACGTGCTCAAGACGCAGAGATGAAGTTTGCTGGTTTGGAGCGACGGTGCCAGAAAGCCCCAGGCACGGGCTCGTCCCGTCTGGCCAAAGATCATCCACAGCCTGGGCTGCGGAGAGCTGATGGAATCAAATTCTTTGGTGTTTTTTGGGAAGACGTGTGCGCTGGGGGGTGGTTTGGCCTCCTGGCTAAGTGAGCTCAAGCCTGGGTTTTGTTTATTTTATCTTTTATACAGTGGATTTTGAACTTGGGTTTCAAAGCCTGGCTCGTACTTAGCGTTGGCAATTCTGAGCTGGGACCCTTTTTGATTCACCATGTTGTTTTTGGACAAGCTCTAACGTTGCCATATTTCACCTACAAAGCAAAGTGTAGCGCTCAGCCCTGGGTCAGAGGCACTAGCAGAGATTTTTTTCTGCATGATGCAGTGCAGAGCGATGCTTGGGACTGGAAGGGTGAAGTCGCCTCCTCAGTTGTATCATGCCAGAGTGGTTTTGCTTTGCTGGGGACACTTTGCGACAAAGCCGAGAGCAGGAACGTGCCCAACGGCCAGAAAGGATTTCTGCAAAACTCTGGAGAACTTGACCCAAAACGAAACGCAAGGAAAAGCATCGAAGTCGATGTGACCAAACGGTCGCCGTCGCGTTCAAATCGGTGCAGATGCGGTGTGCCGGGGCGGGGGGAAGAGGCGTGGTGACCCCTCTGTGCGTGGCTGGACCTCCAGCCCCATCCTGATACCGGGCAGCCCCCCCC